AGCGTTGAACTGCTAGTCTAACAACAATGATTTTAAATGTATTTTAAATATGTAAAATAAATCCTTTTTTTTTTTTGTCTTATTGTATTTTTCTGTACCCAGTTTACTCTTTTTCTTTTTAACGGTTTTAATATTTTATTTACACAAAAGCCCTTCTAGAGACAAGTGTTGCAAATCAGCACCCGCTATGTGATACTTTTATATGATTGCTGTTTTCAGTTTGTCTATGTATATTGTATCTGCTCCAATCAAATAAACCATTAAATAAATAAATAAATAGAAAAATGTCAGTCGACAAAGATAATAATGTAATAGTTTTGTATCTTCCTTGAATCATGTGATAATCAGCTCAAAACATCGAACAGCACAAGACGCAGTGATTTTAAACATGTATATGATTAATAGGGATGAACTATGACCAGATTAGAAGATGATGCATTGTAGGGAACGTTACCTTTAAAACGTTTTAAGTTTTTTAGTCCTTCCCCAAGCGTAATTTATTCAGGTCATGCCTCTCAGTTATGAGAATTTACAACCTTGCTCTGCCTAAAGTGATAATAATATCTTTAGTTTTGGGACTCCAAGTCTGACCAAGTAATGAAAATGTTTAATCAATTAATTGGAAAACTAATCAGCGCACTAACTGATAACAAAATAATGTTGCCGTAAGCTGTCAAATTAATTGAGCAAGTGCTGTGAATCCCTATCATCAAATGAGACCAGGGTTGGATTTCTGTTAGGGTCAGTAAAGGATGCGTACAAATCACTCCCACTACAACCGCTGGGACTTGCAGATCACAACTGTGTCCACTTACTGCCCATATATCAAACTGTCATGAAGAAGGATGAAACTCAAATACAGGACATAAAGGCCTGTGGTTTGATGAAGCGGTGTGGTGTTCTGCCTGGATGCTATAACTGCGCTGACTAGGACAAGCAGTCATGTGAAGATTTACATGAACTTACTGATGTAACATGTTACTATACTGCTTTTTGTAAATACATGATCGTCCCCTGTGAGTTCAGATTTACCCTAACAATAAACCATGAGTGATCAAATCTGTCAAGGTATATAGAAAAAATAAATTTGCCTTTAAACAGGTAGCTGCCTCCGATCTGCTTGAAGCGACAAAAGGAGCTGAACATTGAAATCTTAAGAGCAAAACAAAACTATAAATCTTAAATAAATTTATAAATAAAAATAAATGAGAAAATAAGACAGCTACAAACAATCTAGACTTAGCCTGGTCCAACATGAAGCTCAGTCCTCAATCAGAAACTGAACTTGCAAAACAAACATTCAAGAATTAGATTTTTAAACTCAAGGATGACCAGCACCTTGAAATGCCAAAAATGCTGTAGATTAGAACAATCCTTCCTCGCGGTAAGAATAAATACGACTTTTGGCCTGATTTATTTTTACATTTATTTAACCAGGAGAACCTCATTGAGATTAAGAATCTAATTTACAAGAGTGTCCTGGTCAAGAGGGGCAGCAGATAACATCTGTAGTGGTCTAATCAAATCTTCTGCAGGATATCTAGGTCGTGTATTTCACTACATCTTTAGCAGATCCTTATACCTCAGGTCTGGAAGGATGCGGGTGGTAGTTCCTGTTACCAGAACTAGTTTCCCTAAAGTTCTTAATGATTTTAGACCAGTCTCCCTTACATCAATTGTTTTGAAAGTCTTTGAAAAGTTGGTCAAGTCAGAAATTCTCAGGAGAACTGAGCATGTATTTGATGCAGTGTGCATACTGTACAGGCCACATGTGGTGTAGACTAGATGACGCTGCGGTAATCTTGTTGAATTTGCTGGTGAAACATTTGGAAGGGGAGGGGTCCCATTCTAGACTTTTATTTGTTGATTTTTTTGCTCAGCTTTTAATACCACCCAACCTCATGTTTTTTATTCATAGGCTTTTTAGAACAATTTGATTTACAGTCTGATTGGCTGGATACTTGACCAATTAACTAATACAACTCAAAGAGTGAGTGTAACTGGAACCCTATCTGAACAAGTCTTCTCTTCAACTGGTGCTCCACAGGGATGTGTGCTTTCACCACTTTTATTTATCTTTTATACAAATATGTGCCGAAATACATACTAAAATAGGACCATCATAAAGTATGCAGACGATCCTGTCATAGTTAGCCTTCTACGGGACAATGAAAACAGCCATGGTCCGGTTCTTGATGACTTTGTCAAATAGTGTAAGGAATCTTATCTGCAGTTAAACACATCTAAAACTAAAGATATGACCATCGATTTTAGAAAAAACCCAGCACACATGAAGTCACACTCATTAATGGTCAACCAGTTGATTTTGTGCAGTCATTCTAATACCTTTGGACAATTATCGACTCAAAACTTTATGTTGAAATACACGTTGAAGTTGTGTATAAAAAGGGGCACCAGTGTTTGTTTAGTTTGAGGAAACTGTCCTCTTTCCAAATTTGCAAATCCATCATGAATCTTTTCTACTGTGCTTTGGTCAAGTTGATTTTATCCTTTTCTGTTGTGTCATGGTTTGGAAACCTCTCTGTGAAGAACAGAAATTCTCTGATCCAGATTGTTAGGTGGTCCAGTGAGCTTATGGGAGAGCAACAGCTTCGTCTAAAGACCTTGTACACCAGGCAGTTGGAGCAGATCGCCAGCTCAATCTTAAAAGATGAGTCCCACCCTCTGCATTGTGAGTTTCAGCTACAGAAGACTTTCAGTTCCAAAGTGCAAAACAAGGCGTTATATAAACAGCTTTGTCCGCCCGGCGGCCATTAATTAGGGGAACAACAAGTCATAGGATATGTGTGTGTAGCAAACTCTGGAACACATTACCACCTGAAATAAAATTAATCTCGGACTTAATATCTTTTACAAAACAGGTGAAATACTCAAAGCAAGCCAGAGCTGGACCCACTTTTAAATAGTATCTTAAAACTTAATTTTAAACTGGTTTATGTATTTGAATGTATCCTCATAAAGTGTTATGGGGTTTTATGTAATTGAATGTTGAACATTTTAATCTGTTTGTTTACACAAAGGCCCAATTGGGGAGACGAGTTGGAAATTAGCAATAGCTATATACTATTTATGCAGCACATCAGTTTCATGCTTTATATTGAAATTATGTTAAATTGCATTGTCCCTATTAAAATAAATAAATTAAATTCAAATCATGTTTGAGTTTCTGCCTGATGGGGTTGTTGGAAACTTCACAAATATCTTCTATGGAGGGACAGAGAAAGCAGGCTGGGAAGCTGATGTCATGCTTTTAAAAGGTTAATTTATTTATCTATTTTAACGTTCTAGACTCTGTAACCTTTACCGATAAACTTGTTTATCCAATTTTATGATTAAATCTGTGCACTTTTACACGTCCGCACTCTGGCCTATGAAAAGTGAATTTGCAGATTTTACGTGTAGTGTATTGTCTGCGCTTTATTAAGTATATGTGACTCTCCCTGCAACCAAATTCACCTACGGGTACACAGAAAAGTCATCTGAACCTGAAAGTGATCACATGTGACTGGTGTACCTCCAAAATGAAGACCACACTTCCCACTTCCCCAGTTTTCCTTCCAGTTCAAGAGTTCAGCGACCCGTGAACAGAGTCCTGGATCACTCCAAGAACTTGTCATTCATTCAGTTGTTCAAATTAAAAGACAGAATGCAGTAAATCAAAATCAGTAATTCAATTTAATAGATGAGGCTTAATGATGAGTCAGTGGGAAATGAAGCAGACTTATTTTGCAACAGAGGAACAGCACCATCTTCCTGTTTAGTGCAGCAATACCACCTCCATATGGTGGGGCGGTGGATTGTTATGATGGTTTTAAGGCATTCATACACACACCCCAAAATAACCAAAGAATAATTTATCAGTATTAAAAAAAAAAACATATCGAAAAGGCTAGACACGGTTGACTATGAACCAAAATAGCCACTACACATGAGAAAATGGACTCATTTATGTGCAGGTCTTACTCCTCCAACCCTGTGTACTGTGTATTTGTATTCAGTGAGGTACTGTGCACACTCAGTAAATAGATGTTTTAAAGGCTTTATATGCGATTATTCACACTTAAATGTAGAAATCAAGTATATCCTCTGAAAATAACTCTGTGAGTCATGACTGTCTACAATGGGTGTAACACCCGAGTCCCACTATCTGTCATGTTTTCAGAGTTTTCAGAGTCCTATCTTCAGTTTGTTTACATCGCCGGGACGGCCGGTTGACTCCTCCCCTCGTGTATAAAAGTTGTTTAATTGAGGGACTAGAGAAAAGAAGAATAACATACTGTACTCACTGCTTAACTGTGTTTCTAGATCACGCTCATTTCAGGTAAATTTACATGCAGTGTGAAGATACCAGCATAATAAAGATCGCTAGCATTAGCATGCTAACACAACAATGCAGCGCAAGTTGTTTTGGTTTCATGCTGGAGCTCAAGGGCGACATCTGCTGGATCAAAAAATCGCATATATAGCCTTTAACTTTCAAGTATCAAAGTAACACATTAGCCATATTGTCATTATATTACAATGGAGACATGTTTCTCAAAAACAGTATTTATTTTCCACTTTTGGTCATTCATGACACATTAACACATTCAAGTAAACATCCACAGCTTGATCACATTTATGGTTTTAACATTACAATTTCACGACATTGTGTTTCAGCAGACATTTCACTCGTGTGTCTTCCCGCCAAACATTGTACCCTGTTAACATTTTTTTTTCTTGTGAAAATTGAGTCTGAGAAACAGAATGGACTGATAGAAGTAAATGGACTTGAGCTTATAAAGCGCTTTTCTAGTCTTCCGACTACTCAAAGCGCTTTTACACTGCAGGTCACACCTACCCATTCTCACCCTGATGGTAGTGATCGCTATGTAGTATCATCCATCAGAAGTAACTAATCCCATTCATACACCACCACTGAAGCAACGGGAGCAATTCAGGGTTAAGTGTCTTGCCCAAGGACACATCGGACATGTTGCCCAGCTGGGGATCGAACCCTCGACCTTCCGGTTGAGAGGCGACCAACTGAGCCACAGCCGCCCCTGTGAAGTGAAGGCGATGACGTTCAACCAACAAGAGCATCTTCAACTGAGAAAATTCATTCTTGTGGTAAGATGTTAAAACCCTGTTTGTTTTCTTTAAAGCTAAACTTGAGTAGCCTCTGATTGCTTACTGTGTAGAAAAGTTAAAAACAGTTTTCAGCTGCAACAAAGGACGCTGGCTTTTTTTTGCATCTTTGTCGTTTTTAAACCGCTGACTGCGTCTCGCTGCAAACGTAGATGTTACTTGGCCTTACTCTCCGGTGGCTCCTGCCCGGCACTCTGGGACACAGTCTGCAGCTCTTGGGGATGAACTCCTGACACGCCTCCCTGAACTTCCTGATCCTCCAGCAGTAGATCACCGGGTTGAAAACCGTCTTCAGGTAGCTGAGCCACAGAGCGCCGATGCTGACCGGGTAGAAGATGGAGCTGTAGTAGAACCGCCGGCTGAACACGGCGAGCAGGCTGACCACAGTGTGCGGCAGCCAACACACCGAGAAGCCCACGAAGAGGATGAGGATGGTGGTGAACGCTCGCGTCTTGAAGCTCATGTCCACCTTGATCTGAGGCGGCTTCTGCAGCCCGGTGAGTCTCATTTTGCTGACCTGGTTGAGGGCGGGCAGGCAGGAGTGCTCGCTGGTGTGGTTGTGGATGCGCAGGGTGTTGCGGCGCACTGTGTTTAAGATGCACATGTAGGAGTACAGCATGACGGCGAATGGTACAAAGAACACGGCGACCGCCAGCAGCACTGTGTACACACGGTCCGCAAGAGAGTCGCTGTATCCCAGCACGCACTGCGGCGCCCAGGAACCCCCGACCCCTGCCACGCCCGTCCTCCACCCGACCACAGAAGGCAGAGACACGCACAAACTCAGCACCCAAGAACCTGCGATCAGCAGCTTGGCTCTGTGCGGGGTCAGCTTGTCCTGCCGCTGCACGATGATGAGGAAGCGGTCCACGCTGATTATGAGCAGTATGGACACGCCCTCCAACACAAACAGCCAGTACAGCATGATGGACGCCCGGCAGAACTCGCTGCCGAAGCTCCAGTCGGCCGTCGCCACCGTGACGGCGGTGAACGGCATGCAGAGCAGCGAGAGCATGATGTCCGAGAAGGCTAGCGTGGCGAGGAGGAGGTTGATGGCGGAGCGCATGGCCGGCTTCTGGTACACGATCAGACACACTATGGCGTTGCCGAGGAAACCGATGGTGATCATGAAGATCATTATGGCAGCCAGGGTCACACGCAGAGTGACTGATATGACGGGTGTAGGGGCGTCTGACGGGGGACTCTCCGCTCTGTCCGGATCCATGAAGACACACTCCTCCAGCAGGCTTTCATTACAGAAAGCCATTGCTGCTTTTTTCTCTGGATATCAGCCAGCAGGAATTTCTACATGATTTCTTTTTACTGTTTCAGACCAAACATTGAGTTTTCTTCCAGAAGTTGGTCTTCCATAGCAACATCTGAAAGGAAAAAAAACAAAAACATTCACATCAGGAGTCACATCAGTCCAAACAGATTAACACCTTACATGCTGTGAATGCTGTTAAAGGCTTTATATGCGATTTTTTTGATCCAGCAGAAGTCGCCCTTGAAACCAAAACAACTCACGCTGCATTGTTGTGTTAGCATGCTAATGCTGGCGATCTTTATTATGCTGGTATCTTCACACTGCATGTAAATTTACCTGAAATGAGCGTGATCTAGAAACACAGTTAAGCAGTGAGTACAGTATGTTATTCTTCTTTTCTCTAGTCCTTCAATTAAACAACTTTTATACACGAGGGGAGGAGTCAGCCGGCCGTCCCGGCGATGTAAACAAAGTGAAGATAGGACTCTGAAAACTCTGAAAACATCACAGACAGTGGGACTCGGGTGTTACACCCATTGTAGACAGTCATGACTCACAGAGTTAGTTATCAGAGGATATACTTGATCGCATATAAAGCCTTTAATGGATGGCTACTAGATGCGTCACAATTTAAGTTCTGAGAGAACTGATCAAAACAAGTTGTCAATTTTGATCCATCGAAATCAAAGACATGTGATTATTAATTTAGATTATTTTTTTCCTTCTCTCCTAACCCAATAATTATCTTATATCTTATCTTACCTTTTGAAGAAAAAGAAAATCAAGCTCTTCAATGAAAACATTGTCTCTACATGCAAATTTTGCCTATTTATGTTTATAAAAAAACAATGTATCTGAAAAATAAACTGAATAATACTGACCTTTATCAACTTTATGATACCAAGATTTTGGACTTATAGTAGAAAACATGGTGTAAACATGGATTTATATTTATACATGGTGTTGTTTAAAAATGTTTAAATCACAAAAATCTAACTGAATATAACCTATAACCTAATATAATTATTAAAATCCAAATTAAAATCACATTTTTGATTTGTAGAGTTGTGACACCCCTATCGATTACACACATAAACAGTTTTTTACATGAATGAGCTGTTTGTCTCTGTAAACACGACATAACCATAAAGACACGGACACAGTGTCTCATTCGATTAACAGAGGAGTTCAGCTGCTCTGTAATCTGTTACTCAGTGATTATTGTATATGTGAGACAGTGAGAGGAGGAGTGACGTCCTCATGATGCACAGAGAGTTATATAAACCAGAGCACCGACCCACATTGACAGGTACAGTAACACAGAGCACAGCGAGGTGCTGCTGACTGGTCGGAATGAGGTTGATGATTAACAAACAGACATTCACACCACCTACCCTCTTAACACACAGTCCTTGTAATGCTTCACACATGACAAGAAGTACACACTTGAGTACACACACCCATGATGTCGCCTGCCCCCCCCTGCTGACTCAGCAGAAGCTCAGACGCTGATTTCAACATGGACGAGTCACAGAGGCATCCTCAGGTCAGGACACAAAAGGACACGTCTAGCGTTATGGCTGCCTCCTCTGGTTCCTAGTTGTAGGAGAGCGTGAAAGATGTGTTGAGGTCAATCCGACGTCCAGGTCTCAGGTGTACTTCTCCCAGGTGGACAGGCACTCGGAGAGCTAAGAGACGAGAAGGCCAGTTAAGAGTCGTAACTTACACTTTGAATGAATTTTCACCCCAGAGGGAAAAATAGTGATAGATATGATCTTTTTAAATCACACATTCTGACTAGTCATATTAATAGTTTTAGTTTTTTATTTTATTATTGTGTCATACATACATCCATATGCCCAGCTTACATGACACCATAAATTAAAAATCAGGATCAGAGTGCACTAGGTAAACTATATTAATTGACAAGAAACAAAAAGAGAAAGCAAGAAGTCAAACTAATCAAACAGAATATCCTGTCTTCTTTTCCAAGCTTTTGAAACAAAATTAGTTTAAGTTTAAACACATCAAACTTAAACAGCCATTCCATTCCACCTTTCAGTTTTTCACTGTGAAACTATACTGACTCGTAACTTATCCTATAGACTATTAACTTCAAACATGAAACACAGCAGTGTGATATTTTAGCATTTGGGCTTCTCGCCCTAAGCATGATGTTGATGAAATTGCACCAAGTTGTCCAAAGTATTTTTTTTTAAAGAGGGGCCTAATCTGATCAGATTTACTATCAGACTCTTTATCTGAAAGGAAAAGATCCCTGTAGCTACACTCGTTCACAAAAAAAACCATCCATCCTAATGCACTTCTGCATAGTTCAACTGGTGGTTGCTGAGGAAACAAGGTCACCAGTTCCATGGCAACAACAAGCGGCAAATTCTCTCCACAGGATTCAAAAAAATGACTTTTGACCAAGACTTAGCAATTAAATAAGACTGTAACAAAAAATAAACATTTTCCTGAAATATGGAAAAAAAAGATGACTATAAGACTTGTGTAAATCAGTGTACTTCTTCTTGTGATGAAAGATACAACAGAAAACTCAAAGTACTTGAGTCTTTTTCGATTCTCTGATTTTTGGAAATTTTCAAAATCCAAAACAAAAAACGTCAACCAGAATTTACATTTTTAGACACTTCAAATCCATTATTACCCCTTTACCTTTTCTGAAGTTTATTTCCTTTTTAATATAGATGGAAATGGAAATAACAGGAGCAAAATGTACTGCTTCACACTGAAACAAAACAAGTTTGTCATGGTGTTTTGCTTTTATCCTTTGATGCTATAAAAAGTGTGTCATTAATGACAAGGCTACATCAAATCTAGACAAATCTGATTAATAGAGAATTGAACAACGACATATATAAAATTGGAATCATTAGGTTAATGTTACTGCTTCATAATAGCCAAAATAACCTTCTCACCATTTTCATTTTCTATAAAAAAAATTAACAAAAAAAACATTTAAACTGGGTCAGGTGAAAATTGCATGATTGACTAAGTTGTCCTGCAGGGGGCTCCTTACTGCTTGCAAACAAAAACAGGTGGTTTCACTCAGCTGTTGTGCTCAGCTCAAGGACTGATGGTAGATGAAAAGAGACTACACACACACACACACACACACACACACACACACACACACACACACACACACACACCGACACACATGAATATTGCAGCATGCATTCTAGCCTAATTAAAAAGAATCGTAGGCCTACTATTCAGATAAATTCTTTAATGCAGGTAGGTGGATGCTTATTCTTTTATTTTAAATGTGAAGCAGTAGTCGAACCTATTTCTCCTCATAAGTAGCCTAATTCATTATTTACACGCAGTGACATTTAAGAGTGTTTTGACAGCGCCATCACTGAGCTTGAACAATGTGTTCTCGCATTTTTCTATAAGCCAGTTTCTCCTCCACACCTGTGTTTCTGTCAGAGGAAAGATACTCACTCCACATACCTGCATCGCTGGACTAACAGTGTAACATTTTAGATATGGGAGACATTGAAGGCACCACACCTGTTAAGGGATTACAATAAATAAATCGATACGTTCCCTACCTTCACGTTGCAGTTTTGATCATATATTCCGTGTTCGTGTAACGCCGAGTCATTCAGCGTAGAGCTCGTTTTTCTCTGTAAATTCATTGTCGAGCTTTACCCAAAAAAAATCTCCCACTTGGATCATTTTCCTGCCGTATCGATCGCCATCGTGCCGCCGCCTGCGGATGATGCTGCTGACGCCAGAGGAGCAGGTGGTCACTCGTTTAAAGGAGCAGTGCGCCAATCACGTTTCCCCATGAGGCTGGAGTATAGTAAAGATGTGCTCCAGCATTTTTTTTTGAAATAACACAAAGAATACAACAGAGCACGTTGGGAGTGTTGTTATTAAAATGCACATCAATAGGACATGCAGGGGATTGCATGTTTGAGCTGATATATTTCACAATCAGCAACAGCATGCTGCTTTTTTACAAAAACGAGAAAAACTCAGGCCTATTATGGTGTCATAATCACAAATAATACTATTCATCTTATGCATCAATTTTGTTTTACCATCCAAATACGAAGCTGACGAAAAGCCAATTTCTGTTCAAAACAGCCACATTTACAGCAACGATTTCATCTATAAACCCTCGTGTCCCATAAATTCAGATACTTTACACCTCTGCAACAATATCGGCATTATGTTTGTCTGTAATAAGTCATATAATGTGGGGTCTTTTCATCCACTTATGGAAAATAGTCCCTCACATTTGATCTTGGAATTCTGGTTTTCTCCTCTTTAATCACATTCCTTTGTATGTTAAGATTATAAGTCTCTACATCTTAAATATAATAATACTTATAATGTGTTTTTATAATGTGTTTTTTCATGGACTAATAAGGGATCAGCCTCCTCTGAAGGTGTGAAATTATGGAACATGCACTAACTTTTTTGTCCAGTAGATGGCAGCATTGTACCTTACATACATATGGCCTTTTAGCTGTTAAGCATTTTTGACACACTGATGTTGGTATGTTTAGGTTTTAATAGGTATGTGTAGTTTAAAAAATATATATAATTAAAATTATAATTTTACAATGCAGGTCTGACTTCATATATGTATTGGTAGAGTTCTTATATTTTAGAAAAGAGGTTTATTACGCAGGCTATTATCTACATGTATTCTGTAAAGGTAATTAGATTTTGTATATGAAGACTCCAGACATAAACAAACACACACTGGGTAACATTCACACACTCGGCACGCAGGCAGGCACGCAGGCAGAGATTATTTTCATGGGCATGCTTGTCTAAATTGGCATCATGCCCATGTGTTGAACATGCCCATCAAACGAGGTTCCACTCCACCGGGCTGGCACATGCATGCTCATCACGTTCAGTGGCACCCAACACAACGAGCTCGCTGCTGAGAGAATTCATTTCTACGTCCATTATTCCACAGATGTTTGCTTTAATTTCTTCCCTAATGGAGAGACTTTGGCACCGCATCATTCACACAAAAAAAACTCAAATGATCAGAGCAGAGAAGGAAAAGAAGCCACAATCAGATTTATACTGTTTTGTTACATTCACACACATAATATATGACCATTAAAACAAATCAAACGTCCTTCTCTGTTTAGTTCATTTCTTCTTCCTCTTCTCGAGGTAGAAGTCGTGAGTCTTTCACACTGAGTGAGCCTCAGGGTTGTTAATCAATGTTAGACTTTACCGGTTAAACAATCTCCACAATGAGAAAATCATTAACACCAAAGAAGAGTGGGGACTAATGATGTGCAGCCCACAGTGCTAGAAAACTTTGCTGCTTTCAAACACTTCCTTGAAAAGGTGTGTGTGTGTCGGTGTGTGTGTGGCACAAACAAGCAGCATTGAAGAGGGGATTATCATGCAATAATTGCTTTATGTAAAGTGACTCTGAACAGGGCTTTAAGAGCAATTATGAGCTATTATATCAGCAGTTTTTTTTTTTATTGGAGGAGGTAATGACATGCTAAGTGTTTGACTCCAAACATTTAGTGATGCAAGAAACAACACCATACAATTAGGAATTAAACCGCTTGTTAGTAAGTATCAAGTAAAAAGCATGCACTACATGTTTTGTTCTTGTCTTAAGCACATTTTCACTTCATATGTGCTCAGCCATTGAGGTATTTTTTGGGTTCAGGTTACTGTAACATCATCAGATCCCTGTATTAATATTCAGAGAGGACACCTCAGCGTCGTGTGATGACAAAACCTCTTTAAAGAGTTTTTTTTTTATCCCCCCAATTCCAGCCTTATCTCCCATCTTTACATCGCAAAGCTTTCAGAGGATCACACTGCAATCCCACAAGCTTAGATTCTGCCTCCATTTTTTTTTATTACAGAACTCAGGCTCTTGCAAGATGTAGGAACCCATCATTTCAAAACGCAAAGTTAAATGACTACAGTTGAAATACGCCGTCATTCTTCCACCTCTGTGTGATGTAACTGTGACAGATAAGAGCTTTTTTTTTTTCCTTTTCTTTAATATTGTGTTTTTTCTACATGTAGACCACAACTTGTTTTCCTGATAAGATTCTGTTTATTTTAGCTAAGTGCCAAGTAATTTGAGGCTGACTGTAGCTCTATGCAACCCCAAAGAAACTCTGAGAAGTTGGTTAATTTTCTGAATTTCTTGGCTTGTGAATTATGTCATCTTGTCTGCTCAAGTTTGAGTTTGTCCAAATTGTTATTTATGGTTAAGTCTTCTTACTTTTCACAGGAATCGTACTTCAGCTGAAATACTTTAAACACCAACAACCTTTTGAACTATTTCAACACTTGTGTCAAATGGATCTATAGATCTCTAGGTGTTTGCACAATAGGCAGGTTACATCAACATGTCTCCGTACTGCCGTCAGCTTATTTACAGATTGAACATTTACTTCAGATGACGCAGGCATACGTGTAAAAGAAACCACCCATTCATACCTGCAGACTGCTATTTATAACCCCCAAGACCAGAGTTTCCTTTAAATCCTGCCCATGTTCAGTGAAAGCACACACACACAGACACACACACACACACACAGAGAGACACACACACAGCTTGAACACTTTTGGACTTATTTGTGTAAAAGAAACAAACACTCTGACTCTACTTCAAAGTTTAGCTTTTGCAGTCTTGCATTAACTTTTGTCTTTGTGTTAATTTGCTACTAACTGACCTTTGAAGTTTCACCACTTCTCTAATCCTTTTTTAGTGTTTATCTTTTTATAATCAATCACATATTTGATCTGCTGTGTGTCTGCATGTGTCTGTGTGTGTGTGTGTGTGTGTGTGTGTGTGTGTGTGTGTGTGTGTGTCTGTGTGTGTGTGTGTCGAGTACACAGACAGAAAGAAGGAACTCCTTTTTCAAAGACGGCCTATCTGCCAAACCCATCATCATCATCATCTGTGGCAAAAGCATCCGCCGCCTCGCGTGTCGCTCTATCTCGCTGTCACCTTGGCAACCGCTGCCGAGGTGAACTGCCAGCTGGGATAGCCGACCTCTGCTGGCTGTGATCCACAGAGCTGCGGTCCATCCATAGCTCTGCTAGAGGTATGTGTGTATGTATGTGAGCGGACTGGCACGCTGAAATGTAGAGGCAAACTTCAACGAGACAGACTCGTGTGATGAGTTCAGTCAGTTTCAACAAAGTCAACCAGGATTAAAACAACTTAGAGGCGTAAGATTTGGGAAACATTGTTTAGCTTTAGTGGCAGATGATGAGGCTGTAGAGAGTTATGTTACAGTATGGATGGTGATAACCTAATGAGAGTGAATAGCTAATAACTTTATTTATTGACTCATTCATCTAATTTAAGTGCTTGAATAATGGTTTCATCATGAAAGTCAAGAGTTTCAAAAAGCCTGTTTGCCTTAAAAGATGTTTATCAATCACATTCTGCTTTATTGGACCAGTGCTCCATAACGTAAAGTTATTGAGTTTATGATCAGTTAGGGATAAGAAATTCATCTCATATAAGAATCGAGGATGTGCTACGCTGCAGAATTTACATTTTTTGCTTAAAAACTGACTAAAATATTTGATACTTTTTCATTTTTTTGTCAACTGTTTTATCAGTTTCTTGTCTTTAAAAATGGCACACATGCTCTCCAAACTGCTGAGAAAGCTGAGGCACAGCAGGCAGCACAAATCTCTTTTACAACATACTAAAATATGATGCCTCTTAGAACTTCTTTATGTTGCTTATGGGACAGTGAGTTGCCGTTTGTTGACTTTAAATATGACTGAAATTTGACTTTTTTACATTTTAAACTGTAATTTTTAATATGCCGATTTTGTTACTGAAAAGCAAGAGAACACATTTCAAAAATGTTTCACACCTAAGTTTGGTGTGTGTGTGTGTGTGTGTGTGTGTGTGTGTGTGTGTGTGTGTGTGTGTGTTCCTTCATCTTAACACAACTCTCTTTCATTTTTGGTCGAGTTTATTAAATAATTATACTATTCCATGAAAATAAACACAGTGGAAAAAAAATAAATAGTCCAAATCATCACACGGGAATACACAGCATGAATAACTTTTACATGATTAGAGTTGAGTTTAAAAAGTAAGTTTGCTATGCAGGAAAACACAATACTGCAAATATTTCAAAAATGTATTTTTGATCATGTTAAAGTGAAATCAAGTGACACACAACACAAAGTGAGAAACACGCTTAAAGGGAGGGGACATTATTGCTCATATAAAAACGACTTTATGCTGAATAAAGCGCATGAAATCAGTGTCTTTCATTAAAGAAATAACTACAGCCTGTGGGACATCAGAACCTGCAGCTTTTACAAGGGAACTTTTATTTTTAACATTACAGAGAAACCTAAATAGCTCTTTTCTTTGAACTTCTTGTCTTATCTGATCAAAACTCCTTCTGTAGGCTCTTTGACAAAACATCCTTCAATAGATTACAGTTATCCCTTTAGACATATTGTAGTTAAGCTGTTCATTTTTTGTCCCAAGGACCCATTCTGTGCGCAGAAAAACACCCTGGAGATGCATAAAAAGAAGACACAGGTCCGGCTCTGAAATGAATTCACAACATCATTGTGGGGTCAGATGACACGTGGAGCTGTAAGAAAAGTTACTCAGGAGGAAAACATGAATTGTATTCAAACACTTGCTGGTCAGGTATCTTTTGTTGGGACTGTTTTCACGTGTCGCTGTACATCCTCTTGCAGTCTATGGAGGGGACGGCGTGTCAGGTCCC